ACCCTGCGGGGCAGGGCTGCCTTTGCACCCGCGGGGAAAGAAGGGGGCCTCTGGGGGGGCTGCACCGGCTCTCTGAAGCTGCTGGCTTTTTCCGCAAGCGCGGCACCAGTGGGGTTTCCACCCGCGATTTTGCTGCTTTCCTGCCCCGGAGCCCGCGGCGTGGGCGAGCCCGGCTGCCTGTCCCTAGACCGTCTCCCGCTCTGACTGCCCACGGGAGCCCTTCGCTGGCGACAGGCTTTCACTCCCAATATGACAGTATTTTTAAATCTGGGACCTGTGTTACACGTTTCCCTAAAGATTTTAGTGGATATTTTTGTAGACTTGAAACTGTACAAACCCCCCCAATAATTATAAAGAGCTGTGTATTCTTTGAAGGCTAAATTCAGAGAAGAACATTAGTCTATAAGGCTCAGATTCATAAATAATTTGCCTTGGAGGCTATGAACCTAAAATACTGCAGGACATATTTTAAGCAGCCCTGGTAAAACTGCCAGGCCCTTAAGAGGGGTAAGATTCAAGAACCTCACCCTTGATATTGTTGTTTCCATGGTCCTTCCATTGCCTGGGCTTTTTTCAGTCCCCTGTTGGTGTAACGCCTGTGCACCAGCCAGCTGAAGCGTAGGCAATAGCTTCAATGGCCCCTGGGCTTCATTCTGGAGCAAAATGCAATTAGCTTGTCTGTATTAAAGGCAGCAGTCTGACTCGGAGGTCCTGGTGTTCCTGAGTGCTTTAAACAGCCTGTGTTCACTAGGTAGGTGAAAGAAAAGTATCCGACCATGTTCTGAAGCGAAATGGTAAGCTTCTGGAATCTCCTCAGAGAGAGCTAACCAAGTAAGAGGGATGTTTGGTGTTGGCCAAATGCTGCAAAGTGGTGCACCTAGGCGTTAGCTGTTTGACCTGTGTCTTTTTAAGACTGGGGTCAGAGGTCCATGGCGAGTGCAGTATTTTCTACTGTGAGCTAGCCTCTCGGAAGTCTTTTTTGTTCAGTTTTTGCTGAACTTTTCTACTATAGATCTTTTTTACAGAGGCAGAAGTAGGCTTGTAGCTAAGGTACTTATGGTGCCTTGAAAGTAATCTTTGTGGATCCAAGGGGGTAGGAACTCTGCAGCTTAGCTCTTAAGAGGGGGAACTGGGCTGGGCTTGGCTCATGGTGCACTTGACAGTGTGCATGCTATGCGGGGAACCTATTGCCATACAGGCAGCACCCTCTTCCCCCCACACAAGTCTTTATATTGTGGAAGTAAATCTCTGTAAGAAGTGTCAGAGCTTTGGGCAGTATCTGTAAGGAGGAGTGCTTAAGGCTGAGGCTTATTAATGGGCCTTAGGATGTCTGCACGCTAGATCACAGTTGATTAATACGCTCGTACAGGACCACGCTTTTTTCAGGGGGGCTGTTAGGTTTGGTCTAAACTTGTTTGAAAGCCTGTGTACCATAGTAAAAAAAGCAGGGAGTAACTGGAATAGGGTCCCTTTTTCCCCCAGCTCTGTCTTCTAGCTGTTGCTGGGTGTTCAGTTCAGCTGTTGCAGCCAATGCCTATCCACAAGTGTGTGAACAGATACTGAGGTCTCAGCTATTTAAACTCTGACACCTGTCTTCCTTCTCTTGCAGCTGACATCAGCCTTGCAGACTGGGGTCGCAAGGCCATTGAGATTGCGGAGAATGAGATGCCAGGGCTGATGAAGATGCGGGAGATGTATGCTGCATCAAAGCCGCTGAAAGGTGCACGTATTGCTGGTTGCCTTCATATGACCGTGCAGACGGCAGTTCTCATAGAGACCCTTATAGAGCTGGGAGCTGAGGTAAAGTGTCTGAGTTTCTCCTTCAGTGTGCTCTTAGGTAATGCTCAGCCTGGGGCACTGCTGCTGCTTATATAACTACCTTAGGGGATCTTGGCAAATGTCTGTACTTTTTGGAAGAGACCATGCTGCAATCTCCAGGTGAATGGATTATGTCTTCTCTCATTAAGCAAAAAGCTTGTCATCTGTACTGAATGTGCCTCTGGGATGTGGTATGTGTCTTCCCCCGGTCAAGCTGCATCTTCATGAGTGTGTGTTTTGGGCTGGGTTACTGGCTTCGGCGGCTTCGTCAGCTGTGTGTACAGCACCCTGGGCAGCAGTGCCGAAAGCTGCTCCCACGCAATTGTGTTGTGCTCGGGCATGCAGTGCTGTTGCTGGTAATGCTGAAGCTCTAGTGACTGCCTCCAGCACAGATTAGCCTGTATTAAGAACCACACTGTGCCCTGGTAAAGTCAGCAAAAACTGATGAAGCTTTCTGAGGGCTCATGCTGGCCTTTCAGCTGTGCAGGAAAACCAACAGTGTAGTTCAGTGATTGAGGGCTGGGGACTTCACTGCCTTTGAATTTGTTGTGTGACTGGACTGGTTACCCTGGTCCATATTAAAGACTGAGACGCTTATAAGCCATTACTGCACTGTGTCCTGTGCCTGGCTTGCTGAATGAAGTCCACAACTGAGTGTCCACTGTAAAGGGCAGGAGGAGAGCCAGGCATCTGAACACAATCCACGTAGCTTGTGTGCTGAGCAGGGAGCTGACTGGAACTTGATGGTGGATTATGTTAAATATGTATGTGATCTGAAATTCCTTCTTCCTGAAGTTTAACTGCCTGAACTCAGGCTGCCCAGAGGTGCCCTATATGGAGTTCCTCCATGGGAATGGTTAAGAGTTGAGCAGTGTCATGCTGACCAAAAGGTACTGGGAGAAGGGGAAGCTTTCTCTTGGTAGCAGCTAAGGCATTTTCTCAAAAAGTGGAGCGGGTGGGTCTAGACAACATGCTAGGGCAGCCTGGGCAAGGTACATGCTGTTGTGCAGGCGTTCTCCATCCTGTTCAGAGCTGTTCCACGGTTGCAAATGGTGCAGTGCTGAAAGAGAGCTTTCATGTGGAGGTACAGTCCTGGCCTTATTTCAGTCATGCTGTGTATGAAACTCTTGTCCCTCTGCAGGATTTAAAAGAAAGCAGTAGCCCCTGAAATTTGGAAAGCTCCTTGCTGCTCCTGTTGGTTGCTGTATCCCAGTATGGCTGGCCAAGGCAGCAGCTGTGTGCTTACTTAACCATTGCCAAACTGCTTTAATCTGAGCACAATGCCAAACCAGTGTTGTGTGGGATTCATCCAAGTCATTCAGGGAGGTACCTGCCAAGATTTGATTCCTCTAAGCATAAGTTATGGTTGTGCCTTTAAGATGTGTGCTGTTGTGTTAGCTCTTCTCTTGTCTTGATGCCTGCATGTTAGTTTAGACTTTGACTTGAGTTTGGATTCATCTGTTCTGCCAGAACTTTTGACCCTGGGTGGAAGGAGTGAAACTCTGATGAAACCATACCCTACAAAATATATAGTGAATGTAGTTCACTGCAGCATAGTAATCTTGGTATCCCATTTTTGCCTAGGTTAACAAATATGGAATGAATACTCTGTGCCTCAGAGTATAAGTTCTAAAATTGTAATAAAAATGCATCCTCTTCACAACCAGAGATACAAATATTAGACTGTGAGCCCATCCGATATACCAGTTGTTCTAGGGTCTATACCGTTATCACAAACTGGTGTTACACATCTCAGGATGCAGAGGCCTATGTCTTGTATGAAGTGCTTAAGTGTGAACTGTATATAGATATTCTGTATACTTTGAATTTCATGACATGTGATGTCATCTGTACTGATAATGGGGGGAGCTTAGAAAAACCTGGGTGAGGAGGTGCAGTGCTTAAGGTTATGAATTCAGTTTTCCTGTGCTCCTTCCAGGTGTCTTTTCACTGGCAAGTGTTGGTTGCGTGGGCTCAGATGAGGTGCTTCCTACTGCAGCCCTTGCTTTGAAGGGTCAATTATTGATAAAGTGGGATGAGTATCTGAAAACAGGCTGAAGGGTTATGCTTTATTGCCCTCTCTCCTCAAGGTCTGTTATAAATAAGCATGCAAATACCTGCCAGTCAGCCCTGTAGGGAGCAGAGTGAGAACTTGTGTATGGCTCTGTGATGTGGTGGTTTCTGTGCCCGTTGCGGTGCTGCAGTAGGTATGCAGATACTTTTCAATGCAACTTGGCATCATGCTGTTGCTTTTCTAGGTGCCTGTGCCTAGTTATGAAATCTGTGTGGAAAGCACTTAGCTCAGCTGGAAAAGCTTCCATGACTGGAGCACAGAGAGTTGGGTGAGCATAATCTTGGAGAATGCCTGTTGATGGAGTGTAGTGTTTCAGCTGCATTTCTGACTCTGAGTGCCAGCAGGTGTGTTGCTGCATGTCTATATCCCTCATGGAACACTTGCTATGTGGCTGTTCTGAAAATTTGAACTTTATTGAGCAAAACTTTCTAAACCCACCCTACTGTGCACTTCCTGAAGATCTATAGCTGAACGTACATTCTGGTTGTCTGGCAAAAAGTCTCATGAGTAAGGAGATGGCCAAATACGTGGCACAGTTAAAGCTCCATTATGTTCTCTCCTGAAGTGACATTATTTTCCCTGGATTAGTCAGATACTTAGTTTTTACCTTAACTTTGCAGAGCTACTGAGAAAGGCAAGAACCTGCACTAATATGCCCTTCTGCTCTTGCTCCCTTTTTAACTCCTGTGTCTGGAAGAGTGCCTGATATCTCAGAACTTTGTTCAGCAAACAAAACTTGGGTTGTTTTCCAGGTGCAATGGTCAAGCTGCAACATTTTCTCCACTCAGGACCACGCTGCAGCTGCTATTGCGAAAGCTGGTATCCCTGGTAAGTTTTCCATGTTCTAATTTGGCTGAGTTGAGGTATACTGCCTGTTACAGCTAAATCAAACTGTGGACAAATCAAGCTCTTCTGAACAAGCTTCAGAATAGAAATAGCCCATCAAAAGCAGTGATTGTTACAAAACAGGACATTTGATCCAAGCTGCATTGCATCAGACTATGCATAGCACTCCTGACAATGGCTGGTGTTAGGCTATGAAAAAGCCTGGCTGTATGTCACCAGCTTTAAGCCTGGTCATTAAGATGATTGAATGGGCTGCGTAATTAAATGGATTGGTGCGTAGGTGTGTGTAGATGAAGGTGTTTGGTGCTTTGCAGCAAGCTTGGTGCTAAATAGGGGTTGGGGAAGGGGTGTGCACCCTGTTATGGTGACCAGGTCAATACTCAAGGTATTTTTAGTCTAGAGCTAGGCCAGCTGTGTTGCTGCCTGATATCCCTGAAGTGGTTTATCAGGATGCTGCTGTCACCTTCCAATAAAGAGCAGTTCCTTGCAGATCAGTATGAATACATTAAGCTATCTGCTGTGTTACTCAGCTTGAGGACATAGTCGTCATGGCTTTGTGCTGGGAGCTGCATGACCTGAGCCTGGATGTTGGCAGAGGCTGAATCTGATTTCTGGCAGCCTGGTTCTTTGCTCTATGAGGTGTCTTTGATTTCTATTATAATTGGCTATTGCCACAAGTCTTTCCTGGCGTGGTCCATTCTAAGGTAACAGAAGAAAGTTGTCCCTTCATCAGCTGCTTTGGCATTACTAGCTGCAGGCACCACCTCCTCTGCCTCTCTGGCATGTGACGGCAAAGGACCGGCAGGACTCTCTAGATCTGATGTTGGGATATTGCCTTCCTTACTGCTCTCAACACCCAAAACTCAACTGACGAGCACTTTATAGGTAGAGTGTTTGTCTAAGTTTTTGACCTCTGCCCTTGGTATTCTTGTCTTGTGGAACTTGCTCTTTTTGTTAATATTGCACTTCACATACTGAATTTACGATACCTTGGGGGAATACCGATCCTTTGGATACAATATGAGGTACTGATGCATGTTTCTTCAGAAGGGGCAATTGCATGATTGGCTCTTTCTGCCTCAAGGTTAGTTTTCTGTGTGAACAGTGAAAACATTACAATTTAGCCAAATGTTAGGGTATGTAAATATATGTTTTAATGGCTGAGTACTGCTGAGGTAGCATGAAGCCAGTACAAATGACTGGAAAGGCAAAAATACTGCTAGATACAACATGCTAGAGGTAGCATGTTGCTGGTGGTAGATGTACTGATACAGAAACATACCCTAGTAAGAGCAGACGTGGCATAGCAGCTTGGATTTTAGCACTGTGCTAGAGACTACAATTTAAACTCAGTTGCTGAAGAGTTTGTAGTCTGGTGCTTAGCTTATACTAAAGTCTGGTTGCTCTTTTCTGCTGTGCTGGAAAATGCTGTAGTTGTGTTTTCATTTGTCTGTATCAATATATCCAGTGGCTATTTCTAATTCCTGATAATGTAGGGTGTATTAGGGGAGCAAGTGGGGTGTTGTCGATGTGAGTCTGCTTTAGTTTGCTTTGCATTCTTCCTCTTGACATGGAAGAAGAGTAAGGAGAGCAATGAAGTGTCAAAATTTTGACCAAGTTTGTGGCCTAGAACAGAAGGCAGTGTGATTTCACTTCTACTCATTCCGAGATTCTTTTTTTTCAATGCAAATGTCTTTTCTGGCCTGCAGGCACAGATAATCATCTGTCTGTCGGCTCTGCCAGTGAGAGCTTCTGATGAAATCTTCCTTTGGCTGCTTTAATACATGCTGAGTAAGAAACTGGCTAATTGTATGTGTTTGTTCCTGTGTAGTGTTTGCCTGGAAAGGGGAGACCGACGAGGAATATTTGTGGTGCATTGAGCAGACCCTGTACTTCAAGGATGGGCAAGCCCTCAACATGATTTTGGATGATGGTGGAGATCTTACCAACCTAGTTCATACGAAATACCCGCAACTCTTGAAAGGTGACTTGTATTTTGTTTTTTTCAGGCACAGTTCTGTGTGGGAGGCTGCTTAGGCAGTCTGTTTCTGTGGGAATTCCCTGCTGGTGTAAAAGGGGTGGGGGAAGAGGGACAGGCATGTGCAAACAGGCTGTGAATGAGTCTATGAAAATTGCTTACAGTTCAAGAGCAGAATCTCTTACCTGTAGGAGCTGTTTCTATTGCTGTTCTCTAGTATATAAGCTACAGTGACCTGTCCTTCTGGCCATCCTTCACAGTACCCATTACCTGAGAATGACCAGTGGTACTGCTGACTTGCCAAAAGCTTCCTGGAAATGGGCTGTGTTTTAGAATTGTTCAATGTCTGCTTGTGATTAATATTTTTAACATTAATGCTTTTTCTTCCGCATCCTTTTAGTGTACCTCTGGATGAAGTCATGATAACCTGTAGTCTTTCTTGGAAGGGGAACAGTTTTCTACCTTACATAAACTACAAGGCATTAACTCATTCAGTTTGTCAGCAAAGATGCTGATGAAGTCAGATTTTGGACTCTTGCTTTGTTGGCTTATTACCTTCAGTGTAAGTTAGTAAAACTGAAAACAGTTCAGTGTGGTGTTGCTAGCACATGTTTATGGAAAAAGATTTGTCTGAAGAGAATGTGGCATGGCCTGCAGTAGCAGGCTGATCTGTGCCTGGCGAGTATGACAGTCTTCTTAGCTCTGCCAGTGTCCATCCATGCTGCTGCAAGCCACAGGTGCCTAAGGGCGTGTTTGATCTGGGATGCAAAGAAAATTGGATAGTGATATGGGGTGGAAACTAAACTGATACAGTGAGGGTGTGCTGATGTTTGTTCTTGGTCTGTGGAGGTGAGGTTGCTGTAGAAGCCTGCTGGATCAGTGCTCCTCTGACTCTTGCACTGCTTTAAGAGGAAGCTGTGGGGAAAAAAATCTGAAGGTGGCAGGCCATGGGTAGAGCTCTGTGAGAGGAGTCTGGGGCTGCTCCTCACCATGTGCTCATGCAGGTAGGGGTACCAGCATGAGAGGGAACTTCTATGTGAGAGGCCTCACTTTCTCCTTCATCCTCAGCTTGATGTAACTAGTAATGTGGTTTAACTCCAGCTGGCAACTAAGTACCATGCAGCTGCTTGCTTACTCCCCCCACCTCTTGGTGAAATGGGGAAGAGAATCAGAAAAAACGCAAAACCTGTGGGTTGAGATAAGACCAGTTTAATTGAAATAAAATAAAATCATAGTAATGAAAAGATAACAAAAAGAGGTAGGGAAATAAAACCCAAGAAGGACAAGTGATGCACAATACAATTCTCGCCACCTGCTGACTGATGCCCACCCTGTCCCTGAGCAGCAATCGCCCACTCCCAGCCAACTCTCCCCAGTTTCTCTACTGGCCATGCTGTTCTATGGGATGGGATATCCCTTTGGCTGGTTGGGGTCAGCTGTCCTGGCCGTGCTCCCTCCCACCTTCTTGGGCACCTCCTCGCTGGCAGAGCATGGAAAACTGAAAAGTCCTTAACTTAGGGTAAGCACTACTTAGTAACAACAACTACAACATCAGTGTGTTATCAGCATTGTTCTCATACTAAATCCAAAACCCAGCACTATACCAGCTACTAGGAAGAAAATTAACTCTATCCCAGCCAAAGCAAGGACAGTATCCACCCCTTATTCTATACTATTTATGTCATGCCCAAGTCCCACGCTTTCCAATACATCCCAGTTAAGACAGGAAAGGTGATGGTGGCTTTGATATATACACACAGATATCATTTCCTTAGTCTATGGGCCGTATCTCTAAAATGTTTGAGTTCATTTAGTCCATGACTTTGGGCTTCATCTACTGTAACAGTCTTTCAGGGCAGGAAAGACGATGTGTAGTGTTGGATTGTTGCATGCTGAAGCCAGTTCCGATTCCATCACCACTGCACTTGTCTGGTTTCATCAAAGTTCATTCTTCATTAATCTGGGTGATTTTTACTGTAATACCCTTGGTCTGGCATATAGCCACCATAGAAGTGGTGATATACAGTGTTATATAGCAATTAACATCATGCAATTTAATTAATTGGCTATTCTCACCCAAAATCAAATCCCCCTGAGGTACGCATCAGACTTTCTTATCCTCACACATTACCCACCGAGTGCACCTAGGTCCTTGAGCAAAAGCAATCCCATGAATGGGTTTGCCTTTGCCTGAGGCAGGAATAACCCAGACTGTTTCCCCTGGCATATTTTTTGTGTGTACTGCAGGAACTTTATCTTTCTACAGTACATAACAGTTTTGATTGGGTAGGGCCAGCCCGATTGGCAGACCAAGTGGCTTTGGTTAAATGTGTATCCCAGTGTTTGAAGATCCCACCACCCATTGCTTTCAGTGTGGTCTTTAATGTTCCGTTGTATCATTCAGTTTTTCCTGGAGGCTGGTGCGTGATAAGGCTTGTGATGTACTCATTCAATGCCATGCTCTTTGACCCAGGTGTCTATGAAGTTATTTTGGACGTGAGTCCTGTTGTCTGACTCGATTCTTTCTGGAGTACTGTGTCACCGTAAGACTTGCTTTTCAAGGCCTGGGATAGTGTTCCAGGCACTAGCGTGGGGCATGGGGTATGTTTCCAGCCACCCGGTGGTTGCTTCCACCATTGTAAGAACATGGCGCTTGCCTTAGCAGGTTTGTGGGAGTGTGATATAGTCAATCTGCCAGGCCTTCCTTTCAGCCATCCTCCATACCACAGAGGCTTTAGCTGCTTGGCTTGCTTGATTGCAGTGCGTGTTTCACATTCATGGGTAACCTGTATAACAGTGTCCATGGTCAAGTCTACCCCTTGATCTTGAGCCCATCTGTGTTGCATCTCTTCCTTGATGGCCTGAGGTGTCATGAGCCCACTGAGCTATAAATAATTTACCCTTATGTTGCCAATCCAGATCCACTTGACCCACTTCGATCTTAGCAGCCTGATCCGCGTGTTGGTTGTTTTGATGTTCTTCAGTGGCCCGACTCTTGGGTACGTGAGCACCTATGTGACATACCTTCACAACCAGGTTCTCTAGCCGGGCAGCAGTATCTTACCGCAGTGCGGCAGCCCAGATGGATTTACCCATCAGTAAAAAGACGTATTGCTTCTCATTTTCTGGTAATTTATTGTAGCATGGAGCCTCTTCAGGACGTGTCACCTCCTCCTCTGGTGACATTCCAAAATCTTTGCCTTCTGCCAGTTCATGATCACTTCCAAGGTTCCTGGATGACTGGGGTTTCCTTTTCCAGCTTATTGTGTGATCAGTGCGACCCACTTACTCCAAGTACTGCGAGTTGCATGGGGTGTAGAGGAGACCCTCTCTTTGAATATCCATCACAGCACTGGCAGCCGAGGCGCCAGGAGTACCAATCACTTCTGAAGCAGCTTGAACCCATTCATAAGCTGGCAGTATCTTTTCCAGTTGGAATACAGTTGGCCTCAGATCCTCTGTATCCCTGTCTCCAAAACCCTAGAGGTTGACCTCAGGTCTCCCTGGGTGCTTTCTGCAAGAGGCTCCAGGCAGGGCCATTCTCCCTGGCTGCAGTGTAGAGCATATTTTTTACATCTTGCCCTGCTGGGGCTGGCCTAAGGGCTACTGCATGAACTATCTCCTGTTTAAATTGTTCAAAGCCTTGTTGTTGCTCAGAACCCCATTTGAAATGATTTTTTTTCTGGATCAGTTGATAGGGCTTGCAATCAGACTGTAATTTGGAATGTGCCTTCTCCAAAAGCACACCATGCCTAAGAAAGCTTGTGTTTCCTTCTTACTAGTTGGTGGAGATGTAGCTGTTATTTTGTGGATCACCTCTGCTGCCAAAGGGATTGAGAAAAATGCATTAGTGATATCAGTTGTGGAATACCCCTTGGCTGCCTTTGATTCCAGTTCATATGGAAGTTCTAGCATGTCTGGCACAGCAGCACACACGGCCATGATAGTCTACTGTTAGTCTCTGTTCTCCATTGGACTTCCACACTGGCCGTATGAGACTATCAAAGGGTGAGCAAGTCCTGCTGATCACTCAGCTCTCCAGTTGACGAATCAGCTTATGGATGGGAATAGGGGAGTCTCGGTTGGTGCAATACTGCTATCAGTGCACCATTGGGGTAGTGATTGGCACCTGTTGTTCTTCATCCTTCAGTAACCCCATAACGGAGAGGTGGTTCTCTGAGAGACTGGGCAAGGTAGACAACCACTTAATTTCCTCCACCTCCAAAGCAGCTGTACTGAAAGCCCACTGGTACCCTCTTGGGTCCTTGAAATACCCTCTTCTGAGGTAGTCTATGCCAAGGCTGCATGGAGCCTCTGGGCCAGTCACAATGGGGTGGTTTTACCACTCGTTCCCAGTCAGGCTTATTTCGGCCCCCGATACAGTTAGCTGTTGGGATCCCCCTGTCACCCCAGAAATACAAATGGGTTCTACCCCTTTATAGCTTGATGGCATTAGGGTACACTGTGCATCAGTGTCTACTAGAGTCTTATACCTCTGTGGGTCTGAGGTGCCAGGCCATCAGATCCACACAATCCAGTAAACCTGGTTGTCCCTTTTCTCCACCTGGCTGGAGGCAGGACCCCTCTAGTACTGGTCATAGAATTCTCCACTTAATACTTGTAGAAACGGATTAGAATTCCTTTCCATAGAATCAGGAATAAGATCAGCCCTTCCATGCTGTCTGGGGAACTGCCCACTGGAGACTGGAGCAGCAGTTTTCCTGGAAGAACCCCCATTTATGATTGTTTTTTTTCTTGCAGTTCACATACCCATGTCTCTAGGGTTGAGGTAGATTTTCTGTCCCACTACTTCTTGTCCTCTCTGTCCCGCAGGTAAAACCACAGGGTACCCCGTGGTGTGTACCCTCTATATCCTCTCTCTTGAGCAAAAGAACTCTTACTGTTAATAGCTGAGATACTGGTCTGTGTAGGTGGGGAGTAGGACCTGTCCTCTTTTTGTTGCTGGAGCTCCTGGAACAGTTTTTCACACTTTTCAGACAGTTTTTCTACAGGCAAGATGCAGGTCCATAGGGAGGAGGAGAGATTTTTCATATTGCTGAGTTGGCAAGCCACTTCATCCACTGTCGGTGCCTCTTTGTATCTCCAGGTCATTACTGCCAACGAGTTGGCATACGATGATGGTGTATTCTGTACAAATTTCTGCCTCATGGATGAAGTACATTGGACTTTGTCTGGATCTGTGAGTGACTGTGTATTGTTTGGGTCATAATAAATCATCTATAGCATGGCTAATTCCCTCAGGTACTGGATACCTCTCTTTCGTGGTGGTCCACTTGCCTGGGTGACGTAACATCTTCCCTGAAGGGGTACCTTTCCTTCACTCTGGACAGAAGTCACCTCCAGAGGCTGAGGGCTTGTGTCTCTTTTCCAGTCTCCTTGTCAATGCCCCCTTGCCTAGAAAGTGATCCCAGCTACTTGGCTTCCCCACCCTCTAAATCCAGGCTACTAGCCCCCTTATCCCAGCATCGGAGCAGCCTGGTGATAATGTGCTCACCTGACAACAGCTGGAATCTTTTCATATATTCCACAGCTCACTCAGGGATGAGGATTGGGTGGTTACCTCTTGTTCTGCCTCTTCCTCCTGTTGTTGTGATGGCCCTGCTTTGTCCTCTTTTACTAAACGGGCTGTCTTTCATGTGCATGTCATCTTGTGTATAGGGGCGATTGATACCGGCACAGGTTGGTCTTCTGGTTTAGTTGCAGGGGTTGGAGTAGCCGCAGTGCCTGTGGCTTTGTCGTTAGATCCAGAGACCTTCTTTTCCCCTTGAGGGTACTGGATAGTGTTGAACAGGGCTGAGTAGGCATGGGCCAGGCCCCAGCACATTGCAGTGATTTGTGTTTCTCTGGAATTGCCAGGGTGACAGCATACTTTTTCCAAATATTTTATTATTTTTCCCAGGTTCTGCACTTGTTCAGGAATGAAGTTCCAAAACACTGGAGGTGCCCACTGTCCTAGGTACTTGCCCATACTGCTACTTATAACTATCCAGCTTTGAGGCAGATCACTGGGTGGTATTCTTAAATAGTTGTTTAACCTTAAACAAGACCTGGAACACATTCAGAAATATGCTGGTTCCTAGCAATATGACCATGCTGGTTTCAGCATCCCAAGGATATTAAAAACTTTCAAAATTCTCAAACGCTATTGTATTTAGCTAGGAGGAGAAGGGGAAGATGTGGAAAGATGTCTCCTCTGTAGGTTGGCTCTCCGAGGAGAAAAGGTAGACGATGTAGTTATGAATAGTTTCCGATAGAGGGCTCCTGGGGTATGGAGGTGGTGGCAATGCTGAGTGCAAATACCAGGTTAGTCTCATGGCCAGCAATTCTATCACATCATAAACCGATGTTACATAGTACAACAAAATGATAACCTTAACCCAGCCCCCAGAGATGATAAACATCACAACAGGGAATATGTACAGCAAGTAAGGTGTTACACAGTGCAACTCTTGAGAGCAAATAAATCAACATTGTGACCAGCGACTATTAAACTAATATAATGAATGCTTATAACAGATTTGTTCTAATGTGTTCCAGTGAGATTTGTTATCTCAACCCATTGGGCCACACATTGGTCACCAAAAAGGATGGTTGTGGTTTAACCCCA